CTGTCTGTTGCAAATACAAGACCACAACTTCAACTTTCATTGTATTAATTTACTGAAAACAGCGCCTTAACGCTTAATCGCTAGGCTACGCGCTTAGCCCTTCTGGTTTGATGTGTTTTTAATTGTATTATGCCACCTGAAGAGTAACTAATGTTAATATTTAAGCCAATTTGTTAGTTTGGTTAAGGGAAACAGCTCATAACCAGGGTAAAATTATTTAGGTGCCATTGCACTTTATTTTTGGTGTTTAATATTTTAAATCATTTCAGCTTTTAATTGTGTTTGGCTTGTTTAGGCCCACGGTTTAGCAACCAACGCAGTCTAGCTTGTGGTTTTTGTGTTGTTGTCCCCATTGGCTGCGTTCATGCAAGGGGCTCAAATGCTGAATCCTACAGAACAAACATCGGTTATAAAAACCCGATACCAATAATTCTCGATATTACATTTTTTAGTGAATATCGGCCCTCCGATATTGCTATGCTTTAAAAGATACTGATTCCATGTCTGTTAAAGGTGAAAAAACATTCAGAAGTATTCAGAAAACTTGAAATCATGGCAATTAGTGGCATTAAGAACGTATGAACACTTTGCTTGAAGCATCAAGTCATTCTAGGGAATACTTTCACATAATGTAAATGCAATATACAGTAAGCATTACACTGCAGGGTGTACAAAAGAAAGGCACTAAAGGAGCAAGGAAATGCTAATGAGCAAGGAAATGCTAATGAGCAGTTAACATTAATGTAAACACACAAGTGCAGAGAAATTATCCTTTATCTCTACAGGTATTTATTATATAGTGTAGAGGAAATAGACAGTGGCCCTGCTCATTAGAAAGTAATTACTCCCACAGTACATGAAAGGCAGGGGGCGATAAATCTAAAAAAATAAAAGTACACAGCTGAAATGGGCAGGTGGTAAAGGACAAACAAGAAACTTAGAAAAAGAAAAGAGGAGGTAGGTAGTAAGATGCCAGTTAAGAATGAAAGGGAGTGCTAAATGCCCCCCTCTTCCTCTAAGTTCCTGCCACACGAACACAAAGGAGAAACTCAGTGTCAACCTGCTCTCCCCATCTACAACTGCAGGCTATTGTTTGCTATTCTTTCCTTCCTTGTGTGCTGAATTATGCATAGGACTGGGGCCTGCCTCCAAACCTCAGATCACATCACAGCTCAATCTGACACATAAAAACAGGTGCGCGCATTTTCTCCATCGATACACAATCACCGGAAGGCTCAAGTACGAAAGTAATTCACCAGTTGAGGTGGTGTTTCTACACTGCAGCTGCAAAGAAGTGGGCTCTGACTTCTGTGGCAGAAAAACTATCACCGTCTGAACTGTTTCTAAACCGTTGAGGTATACAATATAAACTGCAGTATATATTACTGTATATGCAGTATGCTACATGTACACTCATACATATGATCAGACTTTCATACTGAAGTGGAAATGATGACCTTTCCTAGGGCCAGAAAAAGCTGCTTTCCTTTGTAGCTTTGAAAACATATTTTATTGTGAAATATGAATTTGAATTGACTGATGCGTGCTGCTACATCGTGTGCTGCTTCCATTTTGTTATCTACTGTATCATCTAGAAAATGTATTCTAGGAACAAAAAATTAAAAAGAATAATGAGAAAGGTTAAATATTGTAGTGACCAACTTCACTCACAACTCACAACACACTGTGGAAGTACTATAATAATTTTCAAGACACACACACACACACACACACACACACACACATGTGTAGTGCAGATTTACGCCCACCACTTCAACATACACATGCACACAAGAGCTTCAGCAAATGGTGGGTAATGTTGAGTTTGGTGCTGTATTTGAGAGGAAGAAATCAATGCAGACTGCCATCTAAAATGGCTTTTGCACTCACACATGAACATGCACACACACACAAACACACAATGATTTTCACAAGTAATATAGAAGAGGTGATGGCCTTGTGGGCAATAAGCCTCTCCAGCTCTGCTGTGGAAGTATATAGCTGACGTTTTCAAAGCCTCATCATACAGCAGAAATCACATGGCAGACTCACTGATAGGCACTCATCACAAAGATATACGGCTTCTGATAAGATCCAGCATGAAAGCTTTGCTGTACACATACCAATCACTGATACAGATAATGGTCTATAGACTTCAAAGGGACACTATGATGAGAGCGAAAAAGTGAGGCATGAGGAAGTATAATAGATAGAGTTTGGCACAAAATGACAAACAGGCAGCACACAGCTGTTCCTCTCAGTGATTAAACTTCCACAGGCTGTGAGCACAAGCTAGCTAGGCTGGCTATCATTTAGGTTTTATAGTTTCTGATTCTCACTTTATTTTGTCCGAGCTGTTAGTACATTTCTACACCCTTGAGACATTTGTTACAGACTCATGGTCAGACGACTCCAGACCACTAAGGGTAAGGTCTGATCCTTTTTATATTATTTGAATGATTAAATAAATCAAAATATGTAGAAATAAATGAAATAAAAAAAAATCGTACTGCCGTACTGTAAATGTTTCATGACTTCTTCACTTAATTTACTTCACTTAATTATTATGTGGTGATACATTTTGACATTAAAGTTCTAGCCACAGTCCACCATATTGTAAATACTGCACATTCTAATTGGTGATAAATAAAGAAGCCCAGTGGTCGTACCTTGCTGGATTTAAAATCAGGTTTCTTCATAAAGTTCTTATGAGTTTCAGTTCAGACCCGGTTCTCAATACTCATTCCTGGGGGTTATGTGGCAGGCTGTACGCTCAGGTCTCTATGGCAGGTAGATTTATGAATAATCTTTGGCAC